GTAAAAAAAAAAAAAAAAATAAGTAGGTGAAGGACGACAAACCGATGCCCTTGCTCTTAGATATCCAAACATTATATTGTTTTTGCTTATTCAACAAAATTTGAGGTTTAAAAAACGAATCAATGTAAATTGATGTTTTAAATAGCTAAAAAATGTTCATGATTTAAATAGCCTAATTTAAAATTCATTGTTTATTTTTGAAAAACAATGGGCTTTGTGGATCTTTTAATCTATATAATTCTAGTAGGCCCAAATAGTGTTATGATACTCATCTTTTCGAAAAAATACCTAACTAAAGATGGCGCCGGCAGAGAAATTACAATCGTACCTGATCGAAGAGATACTTTGTCGATTGCCGACTAAATCTCTTGCTCGAGTCAGAGCCGTAAGTAAGGCATGGAATACTCTTTGGGAGGACAAGCGTTTCTTAAAAAAGTACTTGGCTCGCACGCGACCTCAATTCATCGTATGGACCAATTCCCATATTTGTTCAGTAGGTATCATCGATCTCGACGACGAAGATGGTGGTAACCCGAGACTTGAGGTCCGTCATATAACTTCAGACATTCCAGTACATACCAGCTTAGCTCATTGCGATGGGTTCTTGCTATCTAGCATATGGAAGAAAGGGTTTGAGGTTTGGAACCCTTGGTTAAGACGGAAGAGATTGGTAGAGAATCACGTATTCAGGTTTTGCGGTCTAGGGTACGATAACAGTAGACCTGAAACAACAGGTTACAAGATTTTGGGGTATGATTTTAGTTTCGATACTAGTGGCCAACTCTACCAAAACGTTGCCATCTACGATTGCAAATCTGATGCGTGGAATTTTATTACAAATGCCCCTTGTGAGCAAGATTTGGGTGTGCCACAGTTAGATACTATATTGTCTTTGAACGGGAATCTATATTGGATTGCTTATCATTCAGTGGCTCGCCAATATTTCATCCGGAGCTTTGATTTTTCAAAGGAGATGTTCAAGACCTTTTGTCGTCTACCTCACAGCGAACAAGACTTTGGCTATACTCAAGTCCTTGCTGTTTTCAGGGGAGATCGGTTTTCGTTGTTAAGGCAATCTTACATGACAAGGAAGATTGACATTTTCGTGACAAAGCACAAGATGACGGTAATGGAGAGGCCGTGGCATGGATGTGTTTCATGACTGTGTCAATACCAGAGTTCCCGAGGTTACAACACAAATGTCTTGACCCTCAGCCAAGTTACTTCGTCGATAATAAGAAGAGGCTATTTGTGTGTACTTGTGATAAAACTGGGCAAGCTTGCATCTACATTGTAAAGGAAGATGTGTTCAGGAAGATTCCGGTAGATTCTATGGTTGATCTTTGGCCTTCTCACCTCACCTATATCCCTAGTTTTATCCCCATTCCTTTTAATGTGCTTTGAGTAGGCCTGTTCAGGGTTTCTTTGTTCTTTATAATTTATTTGGTGTTAGTGATCATGGTACGTAGCTTTATTAGTGAAATAAAAGAATATGGAAAGTTACGTTGGAATGACATATTGTCTCTGTGGGTATAGGGTAATTTGATTCAGCCAATGTCTTTTTTTTTTAACCTCACTGCAAAACCTGATACCTTTTAAGTCAAATCTATGTAACATAGAACATATATAAGTATATGTAACCGTAGTATACATACAAATCAGACTATATTCTCAATTTCTTCTTCATATAGGAGTGAGTTGAAAATGTATTACACTTATTGGCTGACCAACATATATAAAGGTCAAAGAGCAAATTTAGCTTCAGACAAATTTTGTATTTATGTGTTAGAAACTTTTCTCAAATTCACTCCAACAGACAAGTAATATATAATTATATTGAATAGAGACTAAACATTTTAGAAAGCAATGCAAAACAAGAACAGTGCTAGCTATAACAATGGAAGATATAAGTTGGATTATACAGATTTGGATCGAAGTTGATCAGCAAGGACGAGATGCTCCCCTCGAATCTTACATAAATGATCTTCCAATAAATCTACTTTTTCCTGGAGATGTTTTTCATGATAAGCTACGAGCGGTGGAATATCAGCATCATCATCTGAACAAAAAGAACAGCTGACACATTTGTAACAACAACAACAACAACAACAACAAAAAGTGCGTTTTTACTTTAGGTTTAGTGTTGTTTCTTACGTGGAGGCCATTCTATCCCTTTGATTTTCATCAATGAAGCTACTAGAAGAAGGCCTGCACAGCATGAGAGAATATCTTTCACCGAACAAAAAGAGCCAAAAAAATAAAAATGGTACCACTCATTTTCTAAACTTTTGTACTTACGGCGTTCTATTTTCATACTGCTTATAAATTGAACGTTTTGAGTACCCGAGCGGCGGATTACTTTCACTACTTTAGAGTAGTCAAAACAAGCGTAGTATCTTATTTTTATTTTCAGTAGTCTCTTCCATCTTACAAGCCACAAGTCGATTTCACAAGCATATGATGTCGTCATACTAACGTCGTCAACCCCGCTAGAATGTTTCAGTAGTTGGGTCTCTATCTCCTTCATTTCCCTCAGCTTGTTAAGACATTCATCGATTTTTTCCTTGACCTAAATTTTAGAGGATAGAAGAAAAAAGAAGATCAGTCAACATCGTTTGAGTTACAGAACAAGTACGTAGTAAACATTAATGTGGATCAAAGACTCTATACAACATCTCATAGACTAACTGGAGACTCTTAATTCTTACACTATTCTCTATAACTCTCATACGCTCACTCATTCTGATATGATACAAGAAAAATAATCGTCAGCGGCTGCTACTAAACCCTTATTTGATTAGGGCACCTTTTTTCCTATATACGTCGTCATACACGAGATGACCTAGTGTCTTTCTTTGGGCCAAAATAATAAAGCCCACTCTTATTTAGATAATTTGTGGTTAATGCAATTTGTACATTCTCGACATCCTTCTTCCCCAAGTAAACTCTTATGATTTAACAAAAAAAAATAAAAATACAGAAAGCAAGATTCTTCGTTCTCTAAACCCAATATCTCACACTTTCCCTCGCAGCAAACAAGACGATGAAAAATGTCTTCTAACGGGGGATTGGGAAGGTCTACTTTAATTTTGTGTATTCAATGCGATAAAAAGGAAGCACTTGTTTATTTATTCAATAGAACCAACCTTGTTACAAAACCTGATACCTTTTAGTCAAATCTAAATACTACAACCATTTTACTCTACAAATCAGACTATATTCTCACTTAGCTTTCTTCTTCATGTAGGAGAGAGAGGAGTTGAAAATGTATTACACTTCTTTGTCTGACCAAACATATATAAAAGTCCAAGAGCATAATTAGCTTCAGTGAAAACCATATCATAGAAACTTAACCTGGACATTTTTACTATAACCAATATGGCACGCATGTCATACTCACAACTATAAGACAAATTTTGTATCATTTATGTTCAACTCCAAAACAAAAGTAAATAATCATAATGATTAGAGACTAAACATTCTAGAAAGCAAGAGTACAGTGCTATAACAATGAAAGATATAAGTTGGATTATACAGATTTGGATCGAAGTTGATCAGCAAGGACGAGATGATCCCCTCGAATCTTACATAAATTCTCTTCCAATCGGTCTACTTCGTCCTGGAGATGTTCTTCATGATAAGCTTCGAGTTGTGGAATATTAGCATCATCATCTGAACAAAAAGAACACAGCTGACACATTTGTAACAACAACAACAACAACAAAAAGTGCGTTTTTACTTAGTGTTGTTTCTTACGTGGAGGCCATTCTATCCCTCTGATTTTCATCATTAAAACTACTAGAATAAAACCTGCAAAACATACATATATATATATATATATATATGAGAGAGTATCTTTCACAGAAAGAGCAAAATGACACCACTCTTTTCTAAAAAAATTACTTACGGCGTCCTATTTTCATTCTGCAGAACTTTTGAAATTTATGAGTACCCAAGCCGCGGATTATTTTCCGTACTTTAGAGCAGTCAAAACAAGCGTAGGCTTTTATATCTACTTCCCGTATCTTCTTCCATCTTTTAAGCCACGAGTCCATGTCACAAGCATATGATGTGGTCATACTAGCATCGTCAACCCCGCAAGCATGTTTCAGTTGGGTCTCTATCTCCTTCATTTCCCTCACCTTATTAAGACATTCATCCATTTTTTCCCTAACCTAAAATTGAGAGGGCAAAGTAGAAAAAAAAAAGATAGTCAACATCGTCTGAAACAGAACAAGTAGTAAAAACATTGTGGATCAAAGACTCTAACAACATCTCATAGACTGACTGAGAGACTCTTCTTACACTATTGTCTATAACTCTCATGCGCTCACTCATTCTGGGGATATAAGAATGTAATCGTCAGCGGCTGCTACGAAATTATTTGATTAGGGCACCTTTTTTTTCCATATATACGTCGTCATACACGATCACCTAGTGTCTTTCTCTGGCCCAAAATGATAAAGCCCACTCTTATTCTCTTATTTAGATGATTTGGGGTTAATGCTATCTGTACATTCTCGAGTTTCTTCTTCCCCAAGTAATCATCTTCGGTTGATCACGTTTGTATCTTTTTTTATTGTCAATTTTGGATACTAGAAACTGTTTTGAGCTTTGATGAGACATATGATGGTGTTATGTGTTGTTTTTTTTTGTTTTTTTTAATTGGACAAAGATGAGCATACTTTTAAAGTAGAGTGAGTATAGTATTTGATTGCAAAAGACCATAAAATATGTAGTTGGGGTTCAAGAAGAAGAGGAAACATGGAAATGAAAGATCCATGATATAAAGAAACCAAAAACCATACAAGCTAACACTAAATTCACCACTCTCTGTGGCTGCCACCTGTTCTCCACCGCCGTTGCTCCTCCCGCCGCAATACTGTCTAACTCTCTCTCTTCCATCGTTGTTGTCCCAACCATTTCGTTCCCACCGCCCACGTTCCGAGCTACCGATTGACAAATCTCGCATATTCTGTTTCAATGCAAAATATGTAATTCTTTCAATAAAGTGGAGACAAAACCCTCGATCAGGTGCATAAATTATGATATCAAGTTATCCCACAGAAAAATTACTAATTGGCTCATAATCCTTTAATTGCAGATTATAGTTTAACGTACATAGTTGTTAATTATATATCTCTTTCTGCTTTTTTTATTGTAATTTTTTTTTTATTACTTTATTTTCTTTTTATAAACATTAATGGTTTTTTGAATATTAACATAGTAGCTACTCTGAAAAGCAAAAAAAAAACAAAGAAAAGTAATTTAACAGTGAATTTTGAGTGGTTTACCTACAACCATTTTTAAAATACATTGAAAAAGATAACAGTTTAGAAAAGAAAAAAAAAAGAATTAATAGCTTTAGCCAAGAACTTAAGCTTCACATATTCCAAATTTACAAAATTTGACAAATTCCTTAAACTGAAAATTAATTACCAAAGAATAAGTCAATAAATTATACACTAAGATAAATAAAACGTCCTAAAATAAATGAAAAAAATACACTGAACACACACAAAAAAAAAAAAGGGAGAACAACATGAGATCCTAAGAATCCTAACAAGAATTATGATCAAGTTAATCAAACCCAAAAACTCAAAAATTCAAGAAAACATTTAAAAGAAAAAAGAAGAAGTTTAGATATGATTACTTGTCGCCTTTGATCTTGAACCAAGTCTCAGCACATTGCCTATGAGCAACAGCCAAATCTTCTTTACAAGAACACCCCAACTCTATCGCCCCTCCACCGCTCGTTTCCACTCCCATATGACATATCCGACAATCTTTCTCCGGCGGCGCCGTCGCATCATCATCATCATCATCATCTAACTCCGAAGAAGGACTCATCACCGACGACACTTTCCTCGACTGATCTCCCCCTTCGTACTCGTACGATCCTCCAGTCGTCGAATAGAAGTAAGAGTAGCATGACGTCACGTCTTCCCCGTCTGAATAATAAACACTCACGTCACTTCCGTCCAACGACCTCCGGTGATATCCAAAAGCTCCTCCTCCTCCTCCTCCTTGTTCTAAATCGATGTCCGTCATTATTACAAAAGTGAGAGAGAGCGTTTGGTTTTTAATTTGTTTATAATGGCAAAGTAGAATACGTACATAAAACAAAGAAGTGTGGTTTTTGGTGGATTTGGTGATTCCACGAAAATGAGTAACGAGATTATATGAGGAGTGAGTAGTGGTGGTGGTGGAGCTAGCGAGAGGAATTAATAAGCTAAAGAACATAAGTGGAAGTGAAAAATAAGTATTATTACTTATTAGTACTAGTAAAGAAGAAGATATGGTTCTATAAAGATTAGGATTAAGAATACATTAGTGAGAGATTATTAAACATTAAAAACTTTTTAAGGGATCTTTTTGTTTTACGAGTGTTAGAGAGATTCTTGTATACGTCCGATGGTATTACAACGATTACACCAGTATCCAACGGCTCATATTGCGGGATCGTTAAAGAGAGAATACATAAGTAAGGTAAACACGATTATGTCCTTGATTGTTGTTAGGAATTAAGGTAAAAATAGAAATCACATAGGGGTAGTTATGTCATTAAATTGTGGTTTTTTTTTTTTTGTCTTTTTTGGATAAACTTTGTTTGACCCGTTCCGGACTCCGACCAGTTTAATCATGGCCGGATTCGATATATAACTCCGACGATGATCGTATTCACAATCTACAAAATCTTTAACGATATTTTCTTCAAGAATTGATCGATCGTAGTCATTATATTTGTAATTTACCTGAGCGCTCGTCGGCAACTTTAATGTCGATCTATTACGCCAAACACATATTTGTGTTTGTGTGTACGCCATAAAGTCCATAAGAACATGTGCATGTTTCCAAATATTTTATATCACTCTCAGTTCTCTCATGATTTTGATCTCATCCACAAGTGGATTTGTCACAACATTATGAAGGTCATGCCACTAAAGTTTAACGGTGGATCTTTGTTTTTTTACCAACAAAAAAGAGCTGTATTATAAATTTGGTGTTAGCTAGCTACCCAAGAAAAAACAGATCTAAAACTTAAAAGATTAAAACTAATATTTTAAGAGGAAGTAAGATATTTCAAACAAGCAAGGAATAACACTATTTATTCTTAAAGCCATTATACAAATCAAAAACTAAAAAAAAAAAAAAAAAGATAATAGGAATCTCATTTTCCACGTCAAAATGTTGAACCACCCACCATAGACATTAGACACCAAAGGAATAAAAGACACAAAGAAACAAAAAGTGTAAAAACGAATTTTGATGGCAAAACATCAACAAATAAATAATATGAAGAATAAAAAAAAACAGTTTATCAAGTTGGTGGGTCTGGTTCTAACGACAAGACATACCTATTCTTTGTTTCATTTGAATCCTTTATATTTGGAGTTTTCTTGTATTTTTAAATTAGGAAGTTCGTTATCTTTTCTAAGGGATGAGATATGTACTAACTCAATTCATGATTCCGAAGCATGTTGAATATTTTTGGGGACTAGTCAAATTATGAAATCTAAAATTTTATATGTGAAAACAAACTCTAGTGATCCGATCCATATATATTTGTAACTAGAGCACATGAAGGTTATGTTAAGATCACCTCGACTGAGTATAACTCATATATCCTGACCAATTTCTTTATTTTTAACTCTTTATGTTTTGTTTGTAAAATAAACATTGAAAAAGACAACACAAGTTAGTTGCTCTGTCTCAACAGTTTCATGTTCAAAACTGGGAAAGTGGTTTACACGAGATCAGAAACTGGAAGTATTTGAATGATATGTGTTGTTCAACAGAAACATTTTGGCTGGTGGCCCAAATTAGGTGGACAGAATCAAAAGTGGAGAAGCTGGAGGAGAAGTACTTACTTTGGTTTGATTCAGATAGTTTTGGTTTTTGTGGTAGAAATTTCAAATACTGACATGAATTGTAAAATAACAAGTTAATTCTACTTTTACAGATAAGTCATGTAGAGAGAATTGAGCTACCAAACTAATCTCTAACTTAGAGGAAATACTTAATAACTTACATTTAGAACTAGTTAGGAGCCTACCACATTAAGGGATACATCCGAAAAAACAATCTAAGTTACGGAGCTCTCAAAATATATAGAAGCGTGGTTATGTCGACTTTCGAATCAGTCCATTGTGGCTCTTTGTCTGCAATTCTTGGCTGCGCATAGAAGAAATTTTAATGTTAGGAAGAGAAGGTACATGATGGGAACTGTGATATGGTTGTACGATCATAGTGAGAATGACCAATTACCAGGACTTAAGATTCGTAAGCATTTTGTTATGGATTTCACAGTAGTCATAGAGTCAGATCCTGCAAATTGAAACAGTAAAGAGTATCAGTGAACACAGCTAAAGCATTTTATATCTAACATTTTAAGTGAAGACAGGACTCTAAATCCACCTTGTGTATTCATGTCTTTCCCTTGAATCATTTCTGTTACTGTTGATGTATACTCTGATACAACCTGGTCAGGCTCTAGATTCGTGTTTCTTGATTCAGGAGATGACCTGCGATTCAGAATTGGATCCAATAAGTAAATAGCAGCAGATAGTTAAAACATTCAGATGATTACTAAGCCAAAGAGAAGAATATATACCCTGAAGCACTCTCTATGTGGAAGTTTGATGGTTGTGGAAGGCAAGGGTCTGACATTCCTTCACAACCAAGATCGAAATCGACTAGTAACTCCGAAAATGAAAAGTCTTCACTCAGAAGATCTATATTGGAAAAATCTATGTCAAACAAATCAGCTTCTGCTTCAGAGCCAGATGAAGAAGTGGAAACCATATCAGCAGTGGCAGGTGCATCCAAGTGCATTGTGGTTTCAGTGTCATCGAAGTTGAGTCTTCCTTTCACATGATCTCTTTTACTCGACAATTTCAGATTAGACTTCACCGGAGAAAAAGAAGAAACCATATGGCTCCTTTCCACTGTATAAGAACCAATTTGCTTGAGAGGACTGACTGTGATTCTCTCCTTAGTAACAATTGTGCAGTTTGTAGGAGTAACTTCTTCCTGGGGAGTGATAGGTCTATCACTTTGATCTGATGCTTGCTTTTGCGGTGTCCTCGGACAAGCAGAATTGGTCGGAGGAGACATGTCTGATTTGTCAAACAAACACTTTGCCACACTTGGCGACGACTTATTAGCTACACCGTTGCTCACGGGCGTTTGTGTTTGAGATGATGTTTGAAAAGCCAAGTAATTAGTCACCTTATCAGCTTCTGGGAGCTTTTTCATCCCTGAATTAAGAAAAGAAGACACACAACAAGTTTAAGGATTATAAACACTTCAAGGTACCATCACATCAATGAAGTATATAAAGAAGAGACTGTAGCACAACTACCTTTCCTAGAAACAGAAGGAGCTCCTAGAGAAATCTCAGGACTCTTTCGCTTTTTGTTTGTAGACTGAGTGATACAAGGTGCTGTGAAACTCCCAACTCTTTTGTTTCCTGGTAATGATACTGGCCTAACATTAGCTGTGTTGTACACAGTGCAGCCTGTAAATAAGAACATGTCATTAGTTCCAGAAAACAAAATCCAGATACATCAACCAAAGTCAAGTTACGTAACATCCTTCCTAATGAAAAAATCAACTCATATGCAGATTTGGCTACCAAGCCTGCAATCAAGGGCATTGGAGAGAGATTTCTAAGTACCCTACATATCATTTAGGTACACAATTGCAAAACCATAATCATTGATAACTAAACAACAGCTCAATCAGCTTCAACATCAAAATTAGAGCTCAAGTTGCAATCGAGTTCAACACAAACTAAACATAGTGATGATTCCAATTTAGTTCCAGTATAAACCAAAAGCAGTAGTAATCTTCAATTACCTGAAGAAGAGACGCCAATGTTGTTCTGTTTAGAAGTAGAAGCAACCACTTGGATATCCGTCGGAGCTGCCGCCATAATCGCCGGAGGAGGAGGAGGAGCTGCGGCGGCGGTGGAGTTATAAGCATTCATCACATCTTGCATCCCATTCAAAAGATTTTGAACCCGAGTTTTCTCTTGATCCAGTTTCGCTTTCTCCTGATCCATCACCATCTTCTCCTTCTTGAGACGAATGTATTCGTTCAAAATCTCATTCAAAGGTATCAAAGTGTTCGGAACCTAAACGAAATCGAACCGGAAATTAAAAAACTGTAAGTCTCACTAAAAGATGAATTAAATTGAGAAATTGAGAGAAATGAAAAAATTATAAAAGGTGCTTACTTCACGAACAGGAGAGTTGGAGATGAGAGAAGAAGCTTCAGATCTGAAAAGGGATCGGGTTTTTAAAAATCGATTATCGCAAAGGTATCGATCGACGAGGAAGGCGACTTGAATCGGAGTAACTTCACCATTGCCTATCATACGCTCCGAAGCTTTGGGTCTATTCGATTTCGCCATTTCTCCGAAACCCTGAAGATCAGAATGTGAAGCTAATGAGATGATTAGAAGAAAAAGAAGAAGAAGAAGAAGAAGGTGAAAATGGAGGGAGCGGGAGATTTTGGAAGCTTTGGAACGGTTTAATTCGATTTTGCCGGGTTATTTCTGGTGGCGGGTGAATGCCAAAATTTTTGTTAGGGTCAAAATTGGAAATTCATATGTTCACTTAACCCTTTCGATTTTGTGCGGTTTACTATTTTGGACCGTTCGGTTTGGCTGATTCGTTGGGTATTTTGAGTGTAAATCAATCGGTTTATTCTGAACCATCTGGTTATGATAAATTTAATCCAGAAATTCCGGTTAGTTTTACTGGTTGAGTGCTGAGAACGAGAGAAAGAAGAACAGGTAATGAGTTCGAACATATTTTGCCCATAAGTTTCCTTTTCTTAACAAGGTTTTCTTTTGTTTTTCAGCTTGCGCCTGGAGTAGCCATCAAATTATGAATTCTCACGGCCGGCACTGTAATGCCAAGCCTATATTAAAGTTTACAGGTATTGTTCATATTAATTGATTTCCGAGTCCTTATGCTAACCATTGTATCAGCCGGTTTTAATCTTTCGAAGTCATTAATCATATGGTTCCATTCCATGACACTACTCGCTGAGTTTCTAAATAATGAGTCTTCTGGCATCAAAGTCTTAAAACCTATGTTTAGTTCAGTCTCATGTCCACAAAATTCATTAAACTTAGTTATGTTACGGAGAAATCAAACAAGATTAAGAAGTAAAACAACAACAAGCCACAAGTGACAAAACCTAGCAATTGAATACAGGCTAAGAATCAGATCTCAGGGTTTTCTGTTTAGTGTCTGCAACTCCTATTTCGGAGATTTTAAGATAGATAACGCAGTATTTTAATTGACATCATCGATCTGATTCTTTAACCATCCAACCAAAAACAAACATTGGATCTCAGCTGTTTTTATAGTTTATCTTCAAATCCTTAAAAAGAGGACATTTGCAGAAAGATAACGCAGTATTTAAACTTATAAATCATCGATCCAATCCTAACACAGCAAACAGACCACAATCCTAACACTGAATCATCATAGAAGAGAAGAAAAAAAAAGCAAGTAAAGAGCATCTCAGAAATTGAAAAACCCCATTTTTATCTTCACTGGCAATCAAAGTGCAAGGATAACAATTTTTTCATGGATTCATCACTGATGCTCACTCATTTAAAACAAAAACCCAAGTAAAAACAAAGATCGAATTAGAAAAATATTTTCATAACTAGCTTAATCAGAAGACGAACGAATCGGTCAAATCGCCGCAAAATAAATTTCAGATTCAATCAACTAGGGTCGAGAAATATTTATATATAAGGCGCCGAGAAAAAAGGTCAAAGCAAAAAAAACCCTACTCTTCTGTTTGGTAACAGATGACACGCTATCCTTTTAAAACGCTAACTGCGTGCCGTTTTTGACTTAAAACTACAAAACATACTTGTCGTTTTTAAACCCAACTACTATAATAGAATAGTCTCTCTTCTTTGTCGTGGAACCAAAACCTCCACGTAACGAAGCAATGCTCTGAAGTCTGAACCACACAACACAAGACAGAAACGTGTCAAACTACTTCTGTCAATTTTAGTCATAAAGCGAAATTATTAACCATGACGCGTCCCAAAATGCGATTTGAGTTGATCAAATATATTTGCTTCTTCTATAAGTAAATTGAAATACACACATAACATAACCTTATCGGATAAATGCTAACCACACGTTTGCGTTTAGTAACCGAAAGAACCAAACTGATAAATACTACTTCTTCTCCTATGGGAATTGTTTTTGGTAAAGCTTACATAATGGGAATGGTCTTTGGTAAAATCGTTGTTGAGACACCCAAGTACACGGTCACTAAATCCGGCGACGGTTACGAGATCCGTGAGTATCCTCCGGCGGTTGCGGCGGAGGTTACATACGATGCGTCGGAGTTTAAAGGTGATAAAGACGGAGGCTTTCAGGTACTGGCTAAGTACATAGGTGTGTTTGGCAAACCTGAGAACGAGAAGCCGGAGACAATTGCGATGACTGCTCCGGTGATCACCAAGGAAGGTGAGAAGATTGCGATGACTGCTCCTGTGATCACGAAGGAGAGTGAGAAGATTGAGATGACTTCTCCGGTTGTGACTAAGGAAGGTGGTGAACAAGGAGGGAAGAAGATGGTGACGATGCAGTTTCTGTTGCCGTCCATCTACACGAAGCCGGAGGAGGCGCCGCGTCCGACTGATGCGAGGGTTGTGATTAGGGAGGAAGGTGGGAGGAAGTACGGTGTGGTTAAGTTCAGTGGTACTGCGTCGGAGAGTGTGGTGAGTGAGAAGGTGAAGAAGCTCACGAGTGATCTTGAGAAAGATGGGTTTAAGATCAACGGGGATTTCGTTCTTGCTAGGTATAATCCTCCATGGACGTTACCACCGTTTAGGACCAATGAGGTCATGATTCCTGTTGAATGAATGATCCAAAGTCTCCAGCTTTTAATCTCAAAGAACTTGTATTTTCACTGTCTCTCTTTGTAGTTAAGAAGCATAACAATAATGTATACAAAGTAAGCTTTTGGTTTTAGATTTCTACAGACTGAACAAACAAGAAACCTCTCAATCTTAGCAAAGGGACAAAAAGAAGTTGCAGAAATGTTTGGACTGAAAAATTATTCAAAAAGGGGTGTGAATTATATTAACCGGAGAAAAGCTTAACGACAATGACAATTAAGTTAAAGAGCATGAGAGGAAGCCTCATGTAGTGGCAGGCGTGGATGAGACCAATGATCTGGCCTTTGAGAGAGTTTCTTTTGCCGGTTTGGTGGAGCTCTGCAAGTGTCCATCCTTTGGGAGCTAGAAAACGGTCTTCGTTGAGGATAGCCAATGCGTTTGCAAATAGCAGCAATCCTTCCATCAGTGTCCAGAATCCCATGATTTTTCTGTGGAAATGATTGAAAGCAAACAGGAACAATGCGGAATGAGTGGAAACATACTCAGCTTTTAAGTAAACAAACTACTATATACAACTATACACGTGGTCAAGAATGAGAAACTGCAGTGATTTGAATAATTGGTGTTCTGAAGCTCTTACCACTATAGAGAACTCTTAATATCTTTGTATCTAAAAACCATTTAAGAAGAAAGCCACGAATATAGCAGGGAAAATCTTGAATCTAACAAAATCTACAATTATAAAGCTCTTTAGCGATCTCAGCAAGTCCTAGTTTTCATTATTTGGTGTCTTGCAATTGCAAAAGAATCCTAATACCAAGTAAGAATCCGCAAGAGGAAGTAGAATCACATAAGCAACTCCAAAATAGCAAGAAAGCTAAGAACACTAGACTCTCATGACTCAATAGAATGAGTTAAAACAATGTGAACCTATAACTAAAAGAATTGGATCATCATGTTCAAAAGCTGGATCAAGCGAGATCATTCTTTGTGCATACCGAGTAGAACTTTAGCTCAAAGTCTTGACTGAATCTCCTCCTGAACCTGAGAATATCTGCAGAAACGGATAAAACAGATTTCGGTAATCATCAGTCTGTGTCCTGGATTCACTTTCTTAAGACAAATGATATTGCAGAAACTAGTAGTAATCTAAATCCTGACTAAATAGAGAGAGAGGCTCACACACAATCGTCAAGTATGATTTTCATCGAAAGATCCAATATTTCTACGAAATTCAAGCAAACTGATTGATTAATCTCCCTACCATATAAATCCTAAATCTGGCAATTAGCTTTACTAGAATCGAGTTTCGATTTCAATCAAACAAAATGAAATAAAGATCGAGTTTTTCACCCGTTGAAAGGCTCAAACGCCAGAAAATGAGCAGTTGAGAAAGAGAAGTAGATGAAGAAGGAGGAAAGAGATACTTACAGGTGAGATGAGAAGAAAATTGGAGACGAAGCTTGTGAAGTTGCGATCTGTTTTGTTTTTTTTCCCGACCCTTCTAACTTGAACCATCAAATTCATCTCTCAACGAAGAAGAAACCAGAACCGGGTTTAATTCGAGTGTTGACCCGGTTCAACTCTATTTTGACCCGACCACATGGCTTGAGTGAAAAAGAAAAAGTTAGAGAAGTCCTATTGGCTCTTATCTCTGTGGGACAAAGGATATGATGAATGATCAAGAAAGCATGTAAAACAGAGCAATGAACTATGTATCATGTATGATCTGTATTCCCGATGTAAAATGAATTTTTGAGGTTACTAGTAACAACAAAGTAATGAAAAAATACTACTGTACTGTACCCAAAAAACAAAAATCAGCTGCTTTTGAAAGGATCAAATCAAATCTCTATTGTGATTTTCTTCTTTCTTTCTAATCAGCTGCTCTGAAGAGATACAGAGGTGGGAAAAATGCTATATATCTTTGATTCTCCTGTATGGTGGAATCAATTCTACACATTTGTAAAAGGATCTTCCAAGAATTTGTCTTCTTCTTTTTCCTATATTGTACAAGAAGGCTAAAAAAAGGTGTTTGAATCAATGTGTTTGTATTGTGTTCACTGTGTTTGTATTCTTCTATCCTCAAACACTCTTCTTCCATCTATCTGACTCTCCTGATGATTTCCACAGTTGCTCAGGCTGAGACTTGTTACATATGCAATCTGGTTGTGGGTTTGCGTAGAAGTTTTCCTCTAGCCGAGGGAATTCACCGGGAAGTCTCATATAAGGAGCTCCAATCCTGCCATTATGTAGTCTCTTCACCTCTGAAGAAAACTCATCCCAAGACATCACATCCTCATCTAAATGATCTATCAGTCTCACAAAATTTAACCTGCCATTCACATAGACTCCATCAATATCAGTATAACGTTAAACAAAATGAGCAATAGCAAAAGGAATAATTATGATATAAACCTGTCTGGATTGATAGTCTTCTTAAACCCTTCAAATCTCCTGTGCCCTTGTACAGCCTTAGCCATGTTCCCATCATATGTATATACAAACACATCGCTTTCAAGTGCCACAATGTAATCCAACGCAGCCAGGCGATTCTGGTATGGCTTAAAGGGTTCTAACTCTTCTTCAGTTGCTAAGGTTGAATGAGCAAAGACGTTTGGGTACTCTTCTCGGAAAGCATCCATACTGTTTCCTCCGTAGATTTCACCAGCAACTATGTATACAGTCGTCGAGGACGGATAGCCCATTGCCTTCAGAAATATGGCTGCTTCTCGAGGAGACATCGGGCAGCCACCTTGAATCCGCCTCTCTCTGCTGTCAATCTCTTTCTCCTTCCAATGTTTAACATTGTACCTCATGATTCTCAGCTCTTCAGCTTCTCCAGCTGTGAGATTGTGGCTGCAGCCTGTAAAGGCAAGCATATCTTTCTCGTATCTGCATTTCAAATTCTAAATTTTCAATCACACCGTGTATAAAAATGAAAATGAGAGATGCAAAAAGAAACAGCACAGTACCTTAAGTGCAGAGCAATGAAAGGTTCACTGTTGTTTCGTAACCGATTAACCAAAACTTTCCCAAAATCCTCAATCTCCTTAGAGTACACCAATGCTTGGTAATTAGCATGGCATCTCAGCTGTTGGATTGATGGTGGCAAGCCATTGTTGGCCAGGCGTGAATCGGTGTGCGTGAACTTTATCACCTTATGTTTTTTCAGCAGTGGTAACATCTCGCTTCTGTAGTAACTAGCCTGCGTAATACACAAAACTTTTAACCATAAAGGCCGCTGTAATCGGTTTTTATAAATTGTAGAATAGAAACAAACCTTGGACCAAGAAACAGGAGCCTTGAGGAGAGGTCTCATGGCTGCATATCGGGGAGGTAAGTACTCGACAATGTCAACATCATCTTTCAATACGTTCATGAAGTGTCTCCAGTCAAAAATATCTTTGAAAGTACTGCAAATAAAAAAGAACAACTCTTCAAGCTCCACTTCATTTCTTAGAGAATATCTTGTTGTGTAGAGTAAATAAGATCAAACCTTGGGTCAGTCCAGAAAGATTCATGGTCGAGGAGAGGAAGAACAAGAGTCGCATTCATAATCTTGGCTGCAGCAACCATGTCACATATCTGCATTTGATTTGAAAAAACAATCAATAAAGAAAGGTAAGAAACACCAGAGATCAAATCTCTGTATAACACACTTTCACATGAACTCACCCCAGTTCTCATCTGATTCAATCCGCCATTCGCGTGTACTAAAAGATAGCCGTTGGTTTTCCTACGCAGCCCTGAATCAAACACAAAATTTCAGGAAACTAGAAACTGCAACCCTTGTTTAAAGAATCAGGAAATGCAAGATACTGGCTATACTTGAACGGTTCTTCAGACGTGACACGCACTGGCGATAACTTCCGCTTTCCGGTTTCTGCCATATTTCTGGAACCTGTAAATCACCAAATCAGCGGACAATGAGTCTGGCTTTCCATAGGTTGCAGGAACAGATTAAGTTCAGAAACAACTAAAATAAATCAAAGTCAAAGTTCATAAATTTCAATCATCTCAACAACAAATGCATTGTTTGGAACTTTAACGCTTCAAAACACAAAGGAGTTCAAAACATTAAAGATCTGTCCTCTTTAGTATTCACCAAGAATCAAAGGGTCACCATCCACCAGATTTTAAACACAAAGAGACAAAAACCTCAGGCCTTTTCCATTTGATTATTGAACAATGAATCGGTTACAAAAAATAATAATAAGTTCAAGGATTCCAGCAACATGGTCGAAGGTCAATGGAAACCTGTAGAAAGTGCTAAATCCATACCAATACCAAACTAAGGCTGCTCAAATCCATTTTGACTAATTCCTCTTCAAATTCATTATAACGAATCTCAGAAATTTTGATTGGTAAAGCTATAAAATATGATACGTTTAGTTTAATCTATCAAGTGACGCAATCATTTGAGATATTCTGAGAATTCCACGTTGTCCCCTACCCCACTTTTATTTTTTCTATTTAGAATTTTCCCGAGAAAAAGACAGAAAATATAAGCGCCAATTTCCGTTAAAAATCCGATCTTTGACCCGAAAAAAACTCTTCAACAAAATTAGAAAACAGAGGAAACGTTAGCTCCCTATTGGTTTCTGGGTTTTGATCAGAAAATTCAAAACTTTCTTCTCATCTGATTTTCTCGGGAAAATCAAAAACAGAGAGAAAATTCAATACACATTGATAAAAGCAAAAACTGATCAGAGCCATTGATTGATCAAATGAGGAAAGTGTCAATACTAAGGGAAAACTGAAATGCGTTTTATAGCTAAAAATTCAGTTTTTTTTTCTCGGGAAAATGAATTTTGCAAAATGCAAGGAAGAAGAAGACGAAAGCTTACGGGAAGCTTCTCAAGGACAACGTTTTCCGTCATTGCACGTTGAGCCATTGACCAATCTTCGTGTAACGCCCGTACGACGACGAGCTCGTTTAAATCTCTCCGGTGCGCGTGGTCAACGACGCGCCCACTCATGAGAGAAACTCTAAGGAAGAGAGAAGCGACGACGAGGAACATGAGAAGACCCAAGATCCGACGACCCATGTTTCTCCCGGAACAAAAGCCCACCACAGCCGTTGATCCACCACCACCGTCACAGAGAAACGGTAACCGTAGTTTACGGAGGAGAAGGTACCGAATCGTGGGATGATGGTGGTAGAGATGATCGTGGTGGTAGTGGGATCCGCTAGAGGAGGAACCAATTGAGGAAGGTGAGGAACACGCGCCGCCTTGTAAACCGGATTCTCCGTCGTCTAAATCAGGCGAGACGGAGATGTTAACAGTGTTGTTGTTGTTGTTGTTGATGTTGTTGCAGTAATCGGAGGAAATGGAGGGTCGTTCGGAGGTGGTTTCTAAAGAATCTCCGACACGGCGACGAGTGATTGGTGCAACAGCCAAAGGGCTTGCACCTGCCGCCGACATATCGCCGCCTGATAAGCAAAATCAATCTCCGGGAAAGCGCCAAATTGTGAAAAAGGATTGATTTTTATTTTTTGTCAAAGAGGGAGAAAAGAAAAAAGGTGTTTTTTTTTAATTGTTTGTTGGTGTTATAGAGAGGGTTAGTAGTGGTTGGACATGTTATGGTTTTTTTTGGGTTTCTGTATTAGCCACCGTGAGATTCGGCTCCGCTGAGAGGTGTCGAAGCTCTTTTTTTTTTTTTCTTTCTTTCTAATCTCTCTGTTTCATGAGTTTTGAGTATGTGTCTGTATTTATATATATAGTTTAATTTTATGCTCATGTATGTATATATGTTTGTGTGGCCCTTTCGCTAATCATTTGTTTTTTTTTTTTTTCTTTGGGTGATTTAACATTCTTTTAATTCTGGGTGTATTGGGTATATATAATTCCCATATACGAACATCTTGATTTGATTAAATGTCATAAACTTTAATTACATAATTATGGTATAAACCGTGTTTCCAAGTTTAAACATGTATAAAAAGGCCATTTTACTTATTTACAAACTTATAAATCATATGGACCATATCTAGGTTTAGAAAATTTGAGGCTTCAACACATATTATAGTGAAATAATGTTCTCAAGTACAGTAGTTATCAATTAAAAAAAAAAAATTCTCAAATGTTTACCAAAAGTCCAAAACTCAGAATTTCATTTTTCACCTAAAAAATATTAGTGAACTTTATTATGAAAGGGTACGTACATTAGTTATTTATTTATGATAAGTGGTTAGATATTTATTTTTCTTTATTTAAATATGCAAAAAATACAATTTGTAAAAGTAAGAACAATGATTGTTTACAATAAAGAAATATGACATTTTTGAATAATATTCAAAGCTTTCACAACTGTTTAACAAATATACTTTAATATTTCTACAAATTTTACCAAATATTATTTGAGATATATTGAAATTCATTAATATATTATTTGCTTATTGAAAAAAATAGATGTATATTGGTAATATAATATTGCATTCCATCATTCTGCAAAATGTATCCGATCACACCAAAATATTAAATTAATTTTACTATGTGGTATTTTATTCTGCAATTGTTGTTCATAATACTTTTTTCTTATTATTTTTGTGGTTATACAATGTTATATATCAATGGAGACCGAAAGTATATATTATAAATAAAAACATTATTCTACACATTGCAGAAACATAATTGATTCAAAATAAACCAGTATGTAGATTATGTAACTGCAAATTAAATTATATGTATCCTCCTTTTTCAGTTTTCTTTATATTATATGCTCCACAATCCTACTTCAAATACGCCTATGTTAATTTCAGCTTCCATGATGGTTTCTCCCACATTTTTAAAATAGAAACATCTGATAATGCAAGCAACACATGAAATATTTTACGATAGGAACCCCTGAATATTCTATCATAAAACAGTACCATGCATTGTCACGACTCACGAACGATGAATTAACAAAAGCCCCAGGCTGAAGTGGTGAATGTTATCTTGTATTTGTCTCTTCTCAATTCACCAGTTCAAAATCATATCAGACCTTTTTTGGGGTAAGAGATGGAAGAGAGTGCAAATATCTCCTTCAAGCCTCAAAGGTTTTCTTTGCATGAAAAAAAGTTTTCCCATATATAAGGCCACGTTTTATTTTCTTATTTTAATATTTTCTATAGCAACTATTGAAAATGTATATTTTCTAAAGATTAGAACAAAAGAGTATTAAACTAGGTTAATTTGTTCTTTTTCTTTTTGTATTTGTAACTTGAAACTATTTTCATATTGGCAGACCTCATGAGGACAATTTCACAATATACAATCCACCATTTATCATTGTAAAAAATCAACCAAACTTTTTTTATATTTTACCCTATCCACACAAACAAGAATGGTTCATACCCGATCCACTAACTCTCTCCACACCCCATACATGTGCCACGCCACACATGTCGTTCATATACTTGGAAAAATGAACAAATCCAACTTAGTTGCGATCATTACATGTTTTAAAAAGTATTATATTTTTCCTTTAAATGTTATATTAGCTAATATTTAAACAATGTTATTAGGAAAATGAAAAAAAAAAACGTACAAATGAACACTTGATTAAGATGTATTATCATGTGGGGGCAAACCTTAGATTTGCAGGCAATATAATTGGACACGTTTACATCATCAGTCTCCTATCTCTGGCTACCACGTGTTTACATTCCAAACACTTTTGCGGATCTCAAGCCGGTCGGCAAAAAGCACCAGCGTAAAATTCGTCTTCTGCATCTTCTTTCGTGCCTTTGATGGCCGTTGGATCCGAATCAGACGGCCGATACACGATCTCTCTCGATCCTACATGTGAACTTGTCATTTGCGTAAGTCAAGTACCCAAAATCATTTGTATATCTTTCGGACGGGGTATATACAAAAATATGTCTTTTACTAGAAAGTTTTAAATCATACTTGTATACTATGAGTATTGTCGTATGTTAAAGACTTTTTTTCCCTTTTAAGAAATTGATGACCTATGTTAAGATCAAAATTGCGTTTTATAATGTGATTTGGTTTGTGAATTAACGAGTTATATATAGAGGAACCGGTAGAATTGTGTTTCTTAAGGCAAAGAAGGACCCGTAGAAGATTTGGTCTTACATGAAATCTCTTATTTGTGGGATATGTCATATATGTATTTTGTTTTGTTTTTATGTTAAGAAATATTTTTAAAACCTGGTTTGGTGGTGATTTAATTAGTTATTTCTTGAAGAAAAGGAAGAACTATTGGAGTGTATAACGATATAAAGACACGCCACCATTCTTCCTTCAAAAAAAAGAAGTGAAGGGAATTAGGGAAGCAAGAAGAGTTTTGTTAAAATCAAGCGTTAATTAATTAAACAACATAAGATTCTAATGTGTGTTCATGCTGCACTGAAATAATTTATTTTGCAAGTGATCATCGTTGCAGCGTGAAGAGAGCACATAAGAAGACATACACACATGCGAAATCGCGGTGTGATTAGCTGGTTAGGAGCATTGCTTTACTTATTTGTACCTTCGATCATGTTCTTGTATAATCAAGACCGTTTTAGTAGAAGCTAAACTCTCACATGTATTTGTTCCTCAAAAAAGTTGAGTCATCTCTTTGTCTAATGACATCTTAAAAACAAAACTCAACATTATATGTGATATGTGGAACCGCAGGCTCAGTCATTACCTTCTTAACAAGTTGATCCTCTTAATTCATGATCAAGAAGATTATCTACTCATCAACGATCTTTTGGATAAACATTATTTCCTAGATATTTTACCTTTCTTACTCGTAGATTTATCAATAGATAAGTCGAAATTTTTCAAGTACTTGTTATATTCAAGAGACTAAAAGTATTGGTTCTCGACCTCAAACTTTTTTCTTTGTTGGTTCGTTCCATATATGTTCCAACATCTTTACATTCTTAGTTAAGCCAGGTCGTTGGATTCTCGCAAAATAGCATTAGTCCATGGCTACCATTCAAGATTCACTGTGTTATATGAAGCTAAAACAAAAGAAGAACCCGAAATCAATGTGAGATTTTTAACAAGGTATCACCATAGCCATGGTCCATGGTGATGAAGAATAACGCAAATGTTGGCTCGGGTAAGAATTTGTGAAAATTCCTAGCCTAAGGTTAGATAATTAAAGTTTTGTACGATTATGTGTGACTAAAAGTTTTTTACAGAGTACTTATCTGGTTAAGAAAAAAAGTTTGGTACTTAATTGTAATTTTCGAAAGTTGAATATATTTTTGAATGTTTAGGTTAAAAAAAGGATTTATTGGCAAATTTCCGCTATTTAAGTTGGGGAGAGAGAGGAAGGTTTAGAACTCAAAATATCGCAAAACCCTAAGAACAAGTTTTTTTTTTTTTTTGCCACTCTCGATTCCAAAACACGGCGCCGGGAAGACATGACGGAGATGGAGACAGAGCAGATATACCAGGTCGATGTCGGAAATCTCTTAGCTTTCAATCCGAATCATCGCTTCCCTTCTGCTCCTTCTTCAAGGTTCGTCCTTTCTCGTTTAATCTATCTTCCCGAAGCTTGTGTTAAGCTCTTCGGCGGCGGCGGCTTGATTTTTTTTTTTCTTTTCTCTTGATTAGTTGTTTTGAGGTGGGCTTATCTTTATACTTGTTATCTAACGATTGCTGAATAAGAGAAGTAAACTATGCGTCTTTCATAGAAAAGCTTTGATTTTTCGTAGACTCTAATGTCTCTTTATCTGCTGTTTAAAGACCTTAAACCATGACCTAATTGAAATGTTTGTGAGTGTTAATTTTGGCGAGTTGAACATCTTTTTGAGTTACAATCTTAACTAATTGCTGTGACGTTATCACATAACATTGTCTGAGTTGAGTTGCTTGTTTCTATCCTTGATGACTGTTTCTTCGAATTATATCAGGGAGGAGCTTGTGAAGGAGTGCCTTGAGGAGAGCAGAAAACTTGTTCAGGCAGTAGCTAATGCTCTTTTCAACTTTCCTTCAACCGAAACTCATGATGGTCCTATTGTCCAGTTGCCGCCTCCTACAACCAAACTTCCTAGAGAGAAACATGTAATACCTTCTTCTTAGTTCTCACTATCAGCAATGGATGTTGTTATACTATGGGTTTTGGAAGTTTGCAAAATGCGACTATGCATGTATATAAACAGTTTAGAAAGGAAACAAGTGATTTCTTGTATGAGCTTATTCGAAAGACAGGACAACATATCTAGCATCTTACAATGGTGTTCATATTTCGCTCATCACTTATTTTCTGGATGTACTCAAGTATTTTAACCTTCTCTTTTTTTTTTTTTTTTCTTTCTTTCCTCAGGTTCCAAGGCCTAAACCTCCTACAAAGTGGGAAGAATTTGCGCTTAAGAAAGGTAAAAGCTATTTGAGAAATTGTCTTGAAGATTGCAAGCTTGATTTTGTTCAGATTTTGATGGTTCTACGACCTCTTTGTTTTAAAGTTTGAAGTTAGTTACTAATGTTCTTATTGTCTGAAATTTTACTTGGTTCTGTTTCTTAGGTATACAGAAGCGCAAGAAGGACAAAGTTGTCTGGGACGAACAAACTGATCAGTTTAAGCGTCGCCATGGTTACGACCGTGTTAATGATGATAATGATGTTCCCATTATTGAAGCAAAGGCATCAGATGGTAGGTGTTGTGAGAAAAAAACTTATCTTATCTTTGGTTTTTAGACACCTATATCCTGTTAGATACATTGTTGACATCTAATCTCTTTGAGTGTGAAGACAAGAATATGGAGTTGCATTGCAAGTTGTATTTTTCTTACTATGTAAAGCTTTTGGATAACTGCAGAACCAGGAGAAGATCCTTTTGCCAAGAGACTGGACGAGAAAAAGAAGAGAGTTGGAAAGCAAGAAAAGAATAGACTTCAGAATTTAAAGGCAGCTGAAAAAGCTGGTGCTTTACCGAGGTAAAACAGCTTTTTTGATTGGTATTGCAAATGCTATCCTTGCCTGAGATAGCCGAACAATATAGTTGCTAAGATTTTAAGTTTAATCTGACGGAAATACATTTTAGTTAATGCTAGGCTTCATATAGGACTTCGTTATAAGATTAAGTCTGATTAGTTGCTTGTATTTTGTCCACTCATATTTTCAGTTTTTGGTTTGAGCTGTTTCATTTTTATGCTCTATGTGGGGTATCATATCACCGGTTTCATGGTTTTTGAAAACTAAAGATCTAACTGGGTCAACAATCTTTGCAGCCATGTCCAACTTGCTGCAACATCATTACCCATATCAGGCACGAAGGCTCAACCAAAGAAAATTGGAAAGGAGGAACTTGGAGACGTAGCAGGTTTAGCCGCTACTTCAACCGCTAGTGGTGGAAAATTCGACAAAAAGTTGCCTGGAGAAAAACCTCCTAAGAAGCAGGGCAAACATCACAAGGTAATTCAGCAATCTTTTCCCTCCTTTGACATGGAATAGGGGATTATTAAATGACCATATCTGTTGATGACATTTGTTGGATATTTGCAGTATTTACCGGTTGTAGCAGGGCGCGGGGCTGTTAACCCAGAAAAAGAACAGACTAATAATGTACTTAGCAAGATATTCTCAAAGCATTCGCATGAGATCCTCAATGTCGGCAAGGTAAAACCAAAATACTTCTCAGCTCTCATCTCTCTGGTTTTGGTCTGTTGCCTCTGATGTTTGTATGTGAAAAAATTGTGTTAATCTGTTGCATATGATGTGATTTAGGCAATAAACATGTACAACGTCAAGAAGGAGAAGAAGAAGTCAGGAAGGTCAGACAAGTCAGGAAGATCAGACAAGTTGAAACCTAAGAAGGACATCACCAAGAAGCCTGCCAAGTGAAGAGACTCTCGCATGTCTTATTTACTCTTCTATCTTTATCGATCTTCTATCACAAAACAAATTTTGAGTTGCTCCGTATCTGTTAAACTAATACATTATATTTACGTTTATTTTAATCTTATTGACTTCATTTTGCATCATATAAACGATTTAAAGCTTCCAAGGTCTAGAAACTCAAGTCTGATCTAGACTTTAAACTCTCACTCTCCCAATCTAATTGACTTTTGGCCACAATAATTCACATCACTCTGTTTACAAGCATACACTCGTGTCTTTACATTCAACTAGATAAGAACAAAGATCGACTCTGTTTTTCAAACCTTTAACCACTCTAGACAAGGACACAAACCCCAACAGAACCTTGCTGGATAATAATCTTTCAAGTATATCTCTTTACCAAAACCGATTATGTAAAAGCTGAACGCTTTCCCACGATCCTCCATGGTAACACGAGTCACAGGCACAACAGATATGGTGTGTCTCTCGCATACCACATTCGCCGTTGGTGGAACTTCAGCTCTTAATGAGATAACTTCTGAGGAGAACCTGTTGAGAAAATATGAGTCTGCAAAGTATGCCGGCGTGCACTGGTAAGCTTGTGTGTTGCAAAGCTGAACTCCTTCTGCTCTGTCAAATACTTCTTCTGGTACTGAACCAGCCCCTCTTGTTGCACTCACCTTTCGCTTCGACAGAGTCTTCCTGTCAAAACCCGAAAATAAAAATCAAATCTCTCAATTACCACACAAAACTGTATGTTCTTAAGAATTCGTAAAACTTACCATCTTACGACTGCAATACTGCTTGTAAGCAGAGAACCAGTATTCTCACAAGTCTGACATTTAACTAACCCGCGAGATTGGCAAGTTGGGCAAGGAAGCTTTCCCTTACCACTACAGTCTGCGCATCTGTGGAGACGAGAAGGTTTTCTGTAAACAGAGCCACAGTTTGCAATTTGCAACCATCAAAGTGAAACTTGAGTTCTTTATATGAACTTACATTGTGTCAGATCCATCTTTATGAGCAAGCAAACCTCTTCCATAGCAAGCGGAACACTTCATCACTTGATTCTCCTTGTAAAATCCTGGCTCTCCATCGGCATTGCATGTTGGACATACTACATCTCCTCTTCCTGTGCAATCTGTGGATGAATTATACTGAGCCTCATCAGTCTTTACAAAATTCAAATTGTACTAATGGTAATCATGGACAAAATTTTGTTACCTGTGCACTTCTCAACAGTCTCAGAATTAGGAACCGGAACTTGAGTTTCTTTATACGGGACAAAGAGAGTAGGAAACTGTGATCTCAGGTCCAATTGCCATAACCCCGGTTCAGATCCATGCTTCTTTCCACTGAAATTTCCACCATTGAAAGGCACTGTCTGTGTTAAAGCTTCCCTCTCCTCAATGAAAGTGTCAAGAGTTCCGACATAAACATTGCAGTCTTCGACAGCATGAATCTTCCATGTACGAGCAGGACGGCTTCCCCAACAGCAACGATGGCCAATATGATCAATAAGAAGCTCCCTTATTTCAGTCTCATCCAGAAACTGCCTGAATAAAAAGAATCACATAAGTTGAACATATGTTTAGAACATGCTAGATAACAACATCAATAAGATCAGAAGTAGGAACTGTTTATCACTAGAACTACCTTTGCAATTCATGACCCGCTCCAGATGCACTTGGATAACCAATAGCTTGAGCTGTAAAATGCCAAGCATGATAAACCGAGCTAATGTAAGTAAACTTTATGTCATTAGAATCATCATAAAGCCTGAAAATTTGAAGAACCCCGAGAGAGAGGAAGTGATGATTACAGGAAATGATGAAACTTTCGCATTTTTTGGATGATCAAAATCAAAAGCCAGAGTAAACACAAGCCGATCAATAACTAAAGGCAGGCCAATACAAAATTTTGAAGGACCAGAATTCAGAAAAGATCGAAGGAGACTTACGAGTGGGTAATGAGACGGGGGTGTTTAAAACAGGAGGGTAGAGAGACGGAGGATCAGAAACAGCGGAAGCGGAACGGACTTCTTCGACGGTGACGCCAGCTCCGGCGAAAGAAGGGTTACGAGCAGAGGAGCTGTTTCTTTGCAGGTACTGGTACGAATCCCATCTCTCAGATTCATTCGATTTCTCTGATCCTAAAATGAGAATTTCAACAAGACAAATTACGAATCAGAGACCTCAAAAGGAGATATTTACACAGAGGAGATGATAGGTACTTCTGAATTACCTGAAAGCAGAGGCTTATCCATGGACAACGAATCTCTCTGTCAGCCAAATAAACCAAAAAGAGATATATTTTTTCTTAGAGAGTAAGAAAAAACTCAGCTCAATTCGATCTTCTTCTCCGTGTGAGAAACTTCATATCATTTTACAAGAAACAGAGAGAGGCAGAAGTTGTCTTGTCCGGTCTGATCGAACCGGGGTTGGGTCCCGGATCAGATACGGTCCGGGTACAACCGGGTTCTTTAATTCCACGTGTGAAACCGTTGAAGAAGTTCACCCACTTTTTGAGTTTTGTTAGTTAAAGTTCGTAAAGCTAAAAGTTAAGTTAAGATTTACGAGGGAAATAATTGCGCATTTTGGTCAAGTGTTTATTATAGGAGATTGGAGAGACAACAACTGCTCAAAAGGAGGTGTACGAAAATAACAATTACACATGGATGCTTCAAAGCCTTGGCTTTATTATCATCACATGGGGCATTCGTTTCATATTTCAAATCCTGGATTAAAACCATCATTTCAAGCTATTCAATTATGATTTACAAATTACAAATATTCTAACATTTGTTGTCTGATTCTTATGGTTGACCTGAATAATCTTTTTTTATGAACAACACATACGTTTTTGTTTGTTTAGTACATACAGTATATGATACTTGGGAGTGAACGCAAAATGGACATTTTTGACTTATTTTTGGTGCTCTATCCGAAACAAACATATCCCATGATCCATGGATCAATTTAATTCATCATATAATGTTTACCAGCTATGAATGATTTATTACAAGACTTGGTTCTTTTTTTTTCTTTTTTTTTTTAAGGCAAACAGACTTGATTTTCTTTTGTATGCTTTTTCTCTTTGAGGTAAAATTTGGATAGTAGATGTCATTAAAACATTTATTATTTATAATTGTGACTTTAAAAAAAAGCATTTAAGAACTTGATAAGTTTATCAAATGAATTAAAACAATTTAGTCATTTTAAGAAAATAATTAAGGTCACATAAAGTATAACTGAAAAAAAAACAGGTGGATATAATTTTCAAGATAAATAAATAATAATTTAAGACTTACAAATTTTATTATTTTCTTATTATTTATTTACATTGGAATAATAATGCATCTTTCTTAGCTGTGGTGCCTGTGGACACTTAAGAATTTAAGATATAGTATTATTATCTGTTTTGTCTTTTATTACCCTAAATTAAGTAAACCAAACGGATAAAATAATCAAATCACACGATAGATAATTCATAATTGCATCGCCGGTCTATTTATCTCGTTATATAATAATAATACTAATAAATAAACAAATATGAGTAGAGAAGTTGGGTGAGAATGCAAAATGCAAAATCAAAGACTAAATTTATATATGACAACGACGACGCGGTTTATATATGAAATGAATTGATGATGAGTAGACTAGACACAGAGAGTTATGGTTTGGTAATGGTTTGAGCACTACTACTTACTTACCGACAAGCACTCGCGTCCACATTTGAATTCTCTCCTTCTCTCTCTCTCTCCCACTCAAATTACTCACTCACGCCTTTGCGATTTCTCAATCTTTCATGGCGCTATATCTCTCAAATCTCCTCACTTACTCATACTCGTGTGTGAATCTCCTCTAAGATCCGCATCTCTTTACTCTTTTCTTTCCATCTCAGCTCCAACCCATGGCCGTCTCGTTTCAGTTTCTACTCTTTCTTCTTCTCTCGAGCGCTGTTTGTTCGTCTTCCCAGTACTTGGTCGGAGTCGGAAGCTATGACATCACTGGTCCTGCCGCTGACGTCAACATGATGGGCTACGCGAACTCAGATCAAATCGCTTCTGGTATCCATTTCCGGTTAAGAGCTCGTGCCTTCATCGTCGCTGAGCCACAAGGCAGCAACCGCGTCGCTTTTGTCAATCTTGATGCCTGTATGGCTTCTCAGATCGTCACCATCAAAGTTCTTGAGCGTCTCAAAGCAAGGTACTTTATGTAGCTTCCAAGAATTTTCCGATAGCTAGAATCTGTGACATTTTCATTAGCTAAAGATTTGTTTTTTGAGAACACTGAATTGATGGTGATACTCTGCTTAGTCCTGAGAATGTTTTTAGTTGAATTTGAAGGAATCAATACGAATTGATGCTGAAACAGTCCATGCGAATGTTTTAATTTTGAACTAAATTTGCAGGTATGGTGATCTCTACACAGAGAAGAATGTAGCAATAAGTGGGATTCACACGCATGCTGGACCAGGAGGATATCTTCAGTACGTCACATATATTGTGACGTCTCTTGGATTTGTTCGTCAATCTTTTGACGTTGTTGTTAACGGCATTGAGCAAAGCATCATCCAAGCTCACGAAAGCCTCCGTCCTGGTTCTGCTTTTGTCAATAAAGGTAAAGTTGCAATCTTTTTCTTTGTTTCCTTTAATGGTGTTGAGAATTTTATGTGGTTGTTAAATCAATGCGTGTGATGATTTTATAGGGGATTTATTGGATGCTGGTGTGAACCGAAGTCCGAGTTCTTACCTAAATAATCCTGCAGCTGAGAGGAGTAAATATAAGTATAACGTTGACAAAGAAATGACACTTGTTAAGTTTGTTGATTCTCAGTTGGGACCTATTGGTAGCTTTAACTGGTTTGCTACTCATGGGACTTCCATGAGCCGGACTAACTCGTTGATTAGTGGAGATAACAAGGGAGCTGCAGCGCGGTTCATGGAGGACTGGTTTGAGAATGGTCAGAAGAATTCAGATAGCTCAAGAAATACCCCTAGGCGAGTATCTAGCATTGTTTCTGATTTGAGCAAAAACCGTGAGTTAAAATCCTTTCCTTGAGTTACCTAATGTAGCAATCCTACATTGCAGTTGCAGGGAGAGTCATGTGGATGAACGTTATGGTTTTGTT